TGTTCTACTTGTTCCACATGAATCTGCAGAGAAAGAAAAGTGGGCAAAGCGATCGTTGCTGAAAACTGGTCTACAAGACCGGTCCTTCAATGTTAGCTGACTTGGGACGAGACTGGGCACAGATTCCAGCTTCACAGCCACTGCCGTTATTGTTCCATTAGGATAGCATTCTGAAGAAAGTAGACATTATTATGATTGTGTTTGTTATTTTAATGAGTAGTTTAAGTGATCAAATCTTACTAGTTGTCATCAAGGGAAAGCTGCAGGCCAGGGAGAGGTCACCAAGCACCCACTGATTGTTTGGTTCCCAGAGCACGATGTCAAGTCTGGCTTGGATGGAAACTGAGGAAACCAGCTGCAAGAAAATGTTCAGAGCACATTTAATTCAGATCCTAAGGAGACTGGCATTTACAGGGCTTTTCCTGTCTGTGCTTGGAAGGTTTTCAAAGAGTCATGTTATATACACCTCAAAGTTTGAGTCTTGGGCATTGTAGGGCACTCTGAGGATCAAGTGTGTGCGGTTTTCCTGCAGCTTGTAGGCTTTAGCCAGGTCGGGGGTTAGCTGTCGCATTCCAACCGCGGTCTCAAAATTACGGTCTTGACTGCCATATTTCACCCTGACGTAAAAGTGCTTCTGATCACAGGTGCCAGTAAGTGCAGGCAGCACTGCAAGGGAAAGAAAAGTCAATCATCTGGAGTTCAAAGCTCAATGTGCAATTCTAGAAAAGAGTCTCACCAACATCCTGCAGAGACGCCTGCAGTGTCACCTCATGAGCAAAGGAAGTTCCATCAGGCAGGATGATCAGCCCAACGGTCAAAGGGAGAGAGTAGGTTGTAATCAAGGGGTCGGGATTCTTAAGGGGGAGAAAAAAAAAAAAGTTATGTTGGCAGTTGGAATACAATCTTTAGTGCAATTTCCAATAGTTGGCCACATACGGTCTTCAGGACAACATCGGCATCGAAGGACACTTGTAAAGAGAAGCCCTTTGTGCCATTGGTGTAGATGTGCTCCTGGACAATCAGGCCTCTGGCATTGCTCTCCTCCACAGTGAGAACACCAGTAACAAAGGTGATGTTCTTCAGCTCCACATCATGAAAGAAGCCCCCCAACATGACGCTAAACACACCGTCCTCTGGAACCGTATCTGAGGAACAAGCCACACGTTTAGGCTTTTTCTGCAGGCTCGACTTTCAGTTCTTTACCTTTAAGTGGGACTTACAATCTTCCACATGGGGAGGTCTGGGCATCAGAGGCGTTGTAATGGGGAACAAAACCTTGTATTTTATATCATCTTGGGTCCCATCTGCCCTCCAGAGTACCTCGAGCATTGGCTCCACAGTGTAGGTGACATAGTACTGGTATTCTGGGGCATGACTCTGCAATTATTTATAGCATTTTAATAAAACGCACATACAAACACACAAGTCGCATGTTGAGGTAGATTTCCAGACCTTGTAGTAACCATCGGGTGAGCCCACTGGGATCTCGGCAACAATGTGAAAGTCTGTGGTGGATAGTGTGTACCCTCTCGCAGCCATCTGAGACCTATCCAGCCTCTGCCCATTGATGCCCATGTGCATCTCTACAATTCTGAATGTGCCGTCCATTAGAGGGGTCATGCGGCGAGGGATGTACCAAGAGATCACACTCTCAGTGAAGAGTACGCCCCCTAGAAGAGGGGAAGCAACTTCTTGACAATTCTACACTTTAATGCTTACTGTGAAGAAGGCTTGATGCTCACCTGTGGGACAAGCTGCTGCCAAGTTCACGATACCCAGACCACTTTCTGCCTTGTTGTAGACGCTCACCTTGAAGACTTCCATGGGGATTCCAGCCACCTTAAGGAAAAATAATTTTTTTAAAAATATATGGACTTTACTGTCAGTTTTAATTACCAGAAATAATTATCCATTATGAAGTAATCCTTACATCCTCTGAGAAGGTCTCTGGTGTATTGTAAGGGCTTCGCATAATCAGTCTGTTAGAGGTAGTCATTGCACTGTAGCCAGCTTGTTCAGCCTCCCTTGGCACCATTACCACTGGTTCAGGGGTGAAAAATGTCATCTTCCAGATACCATGTGATGCACCAGAGTCCTGCAGCAAAATGGAACATTTTGAGCCTTCATTGAATTGCATTTAGTAATTTTCTTAACTCTATAATCTAGGCACCTCAAGCAGATATGAGTCAACATTTTGATCCTGAGCCGGCCGCTTAGTTTGTGGATTAGCTTTCATCAAGTAGTTTGACACCTAGAAGACAAGACAAAGCTAATTGAAGAGTTTGAAGGGCATAAGTATTAAAGTAAACCTGGCAGTGTTACGTAACCCACTTCCATGTAGTTCCTGTCACAGAGAATCTCTTTAGGGGCCCAGCGAGTGTAGCTGCACGTTTGATTCACTTCATGAGTTACCACATCTGATGGCCTCTGGCTGTACATTTGGAGTTTCAAGCCAATTTTAAATGTTGCATCATCCTATAAGAGAAGAGTGTAAGCAGTTAGCTCCCCCTGAAAGTCTGTTCCTGATACACTATTACCTGTACTCATTTGCAAAATTGCAAAACTTGCAGACCTAAACTTTTAAGGTTTCTATTAAATGGAAGGTTGAAGTAAAATCTAGGTGATATTTAAATTTGTAATGTTTGGAAAGAAAAAAAGTTCCACCTCAGCTCAACATACCTTGTTGTCCACAAAGCAGCCCATCAGAGACGTGTAGATTCTTGTGTTACCCCAGGGGTCAGACTCCATGCTGTACCCACACTGAGCAGCCAAGGTGGGTGTCAACAAGACACACTGGGTACCATCTGGAGATGACATGCAAACATGAGGGATCTCTTCTCAAAGCAATGACACAGCCTGTTCCCAATTAGCCCTTTAACTCACTGATGGCTTCCACTACAAGCTGGTTCCCCACTGCTAAAGCCTCGTCCATTGACAGCCTCATTAGATTTCCTAAACAGTCTGCCTTTAAACCACTGCCTGTGAAAGAAGACGATGGTCAGGTAGTGTAGCCTCAATTTGATCTGGAGCAGTTTAACGAGTTAGTCTTACTTGACTGTGAAGCGAGCTTCGTATTTGGCCATGCTTGACCTAAAACAATTACTGCAGCCATCAAGTTCCATAATAAACTTGAAGGGGGAGAAAAAAAATGCACATTTTAGAAAAATTAGAGTAACTGTCAGAAAACTAAACAAGACTTAACTTAAACTTACATGTTTTTAAGCCGCCACATGTCGCAGTGTCAATGTAACCATGCAAAAAACAAAAATTTACTGAAACCAACCACAACCAGAGCTTGGCATTGAAACCCCCAGCAAGACCTACCACCAACAAACCAGCTCTGCCGCAAAAGAGCTGACTGCTTCATTCAGGCGTCAGCAGCTGTTTTATACCGCAGGTAATCACCTCTGCACAGGTGAAACGCATCAGTGATGCTTCCTGCCTCACTCACTGTGGGGAGGCTCCACTTATGATGCCTTTGCTTCTCGTAGGACATCACAAAATCTGTATTTGTGTGAATAAGCAAGCGCGAGACAGACATGTGTCATTAAAAAATTTATTGTCATTGATTTGTGATTCTATTTACATTTGTCTATATTATATTTATATTGTCTTCTGTGCATGTTTGTTGTTTCTATATTTGCTGACTTCCTTCCTTTAAAACCACATCACCTTGTTGTATTAAAACTTAAGCTGTGTCTGAGCTTCAATTTAGGACACAAAGTGTGCTTTATGCAGCTGAGACATTCCTCATTATTATTTTATGTCAGCTTCTGATTAGGGTTCATTTAAAGTCACAAAGCCTCTCCTACAACCTTCAACAGGGGGCTTCAACATTTATCAAGCTTTCACCTGATCGGTCGATAAGTCTGCAGTGTCCAGTCTCAGTCTTATACGGCCCTTTATAAAGGGATATCAATTTTTCACTAACTGAGAGGAGCTTGAGTCGGTGTGAAAAAGGAATATTAATGCTCGTCTTAAAAAAAATCCATCATCTGTGACCCCTGATCCAGTGGGACGTCTCCTTCATCAGATCAATTATCCTCTGATTTTCAGCTCTGTCTTTCTTTGTGCAAATGATTTTATATTTAAAAACAAAAAAATGACAAGCGAATAAAAACAGTTGGACAATTATTGATATTAAGTGCACTGGTGTACATTTTGTTATCAGCAGGATTAGAGGTTACACGTGACATGTAGGTTCAGAAGCTGTCAGTATCCCCTGTTTATCTTGTGCTCCTGGTCCAGAAGTGTCTGTTGAAGGCTCACTTTGGCATCTTCAAAATCCGGGTTGAGCTTTAATGCCTGCTGGAAATCACTCTTGGCATCGTCAAAAAAGCCTGTAAGATAATAAAAATTGTAAATACATATTAAATATAAGGGTATCTTTTATAATAAACTTCTAGGCTGGATTTTAAAGAGTCAGCAGTAAAAGCACAAGGGTTGTTGTGGCAACTTGCCACAACCCTTTGCAAGTGCAAATACACAGCTCCATCTAGTGTCATAGAAAAGAAAGCACCAAACAGTTACAGGATAACAGTTGACGATTTCAGAAGCCTTTACTGTTTCTACTGTCTTGCATTTATTCTTATATACAATGTCTTTTGCCTTTGCTGTCTTTGTCCTTTCTTGTAATCATCTTTAGTTTTCAGTGGAGGTGCAGCCATCCACAGATCATCACATCTCTTTTTAAGCCACATTTTGTGACAATATGTTAAAATTTGTGTATACGTGTAAGTGTTCTGGCTGTCAGATTCTGAAAGAGTTTATGTTGTCCTACTAATGATTTGGATAATCCTACAAATAGAGCGTTATAGTAGTCTAACCTACTCGATATGAATGCACGGATCTATTTCTAAGAGTCAGTTTGAGATGATATTTTTCTAACTATTGATATATATTTAAGCGTAGAAAGCACATTATGCTAATTAGCGATCGAAACTGAGATCAAAATGATAACATGGCTCCTGTCTTTTTCAAAGTGTTTCAGAGAAAAGGGTGATAAATAGGTAGGTACAGCTGTGTATCATATGCATAAAAGTGATAGGATATATAATGATCCTTCATGATAGTACCAAGCAGGAGCATGTCAGAATAATGGACCAAGAACGGAGGAACCTCCGAGCTTTTATTTTTGCAGATCTAAATGTACTACCTGAAACACAAAACTCTCTGTGAGTCTTTGATAACAGCTGTTTCTGTGCTATGATTGGATCTAAAAACCTGACTTGTACTTGTATCATAAATACTGTCTAGCCAAAATAGTTTAAAACACCTTTTCAACGCAATTGGAAGGAGTAATGTCATTCTTCTAATAGATGTAGTGTCATCTGTGTTTCAGATGATGATTATGAGGAAACACAGGCAAGTCTGCTATAATGGAGATGTTCAACCTATATGTTGACCTCACACATATAAATACACAGTGTGTGCTTATATTTCTTTATATGGTATACAATGTTAGTGGACTGTTTTCAAATAGGACCTACAGAGGTTAATAAAAACGAAGCAGAGAAAAAGACATTTATTTTGAAGGTAATGGGCGGAAGCTGAGGTGGGGTTTTTTTGGCTGTTGATGTGAACTGGCTTGCTGCTGCGAGCTGTCTGTCGCTTAATTGTTGCTTCTTCTTACCTAATCTATAATGAATTAGTCCTCTGTTGTAGAAAGGCACTTCAAACTGGCTGTCAGCTTGTGTCGCAGAGGTGTAGTCATCCACCGCTTCACGAAAGTCCACCCGGAGGTACTTTATCTGCCCGCGGTTGTTATAAGCAGTTGCTAAACTGCTTGCTTCACATTCCCTGTTCAAATATAACACAGTTAAAACCCCCTTTTAAAATCATGGCTACAGTTAAATGTGAACATGAGAGAGAGGAAGGGAACTGAAATTAGCTAGCAGTTAGCGACAACGGGTCACAAAATTTAATGTGTAACAGAATGTGTCGTAACACCACCATGTTATAAACGACAACAGCTAGCCTTTAGCGTCTCCAGAATAAAATGACGATACCTGGACTGTAAGCAGGAAGAAATAAACTTTGTGTACAGCTCTTCTGCCATTTTAAAATTCTCCCTTTTAAACTCAGCGTGGGCGTTTTCGAGTATCTGGGAATTATTCTCCTCCATGTGTGCGAAAGGTTTTCTTGTTTTTCACCTGCGGATGTGACGTTGCACTACAAACTGTCCAATCATAGCGTGGTTCACATGTCGGCGTAGATCAGTGAGGGTTCATGGTACTAAACACGAATAAAGTTTTAAAACCTTTATTAGTAAGAAAAAATAAAATAAAAAATCGTTTTTATTGTTTTGAATACTACGAAGCACCATTCTCTATGCTCTTCCTCTTTCCCTTCTGCCTGGCAGCTCCTTATAAAGCCAACATCCTTCATCTAATCTCTATCTTCTATACATGTCCAAACCATCAACTTTGTCTGCCTTGTGCACTAATCATTGCTTTGGACGGTTGATCCAAGGTATAGAAACTCATTTACTTTCGCTGTCTCTACTCTATCATTCACAAACAGGTCTTCTGCTTGACTTTCATTCCTCTTCTTCTTCCCTACTCTCGCTACAGATTTGACATCTACAAACAGCATTGTCCACAGAGACTCCTGCCTGACCTCATCTGTCAGCCTGTCCGTCACCACTTTCTGAAGCTTCTCAGAGCATCTCCCTCATGTAATACCACCCCCACCTTGAACCTGTCTGTCCTACTGCACACCCCACCACAGTCTCGCTGTCCTCATACATGTCCTGTACCACTCTGACATATTTATCTGTCACTCCTGAATTCCTCATCTAGTACCGCAGCTCATCTCTTGGCGCCCCATGACATGCTTTCTTTAGAGCCACAAAGCCACAGTGAAGCACCATCTCTGTATGTCTCCATCACATTCTCAAAGCAAACGTTGCATCCGTAGTGCTCTTTCACATTATGAAACCAGCTCACTGATTGTCACCTGTCCTCTTAACATACCTTTAATAATACTTTGCCATGTCTTCATGGTATGGCTCATGTATCCCTCTGTTGTTACTACAGCTCTACACATCATCCCTGTTCTTGAAAACTGGTCCCAGTACACCTTCCTCATTCCTCAGGCATCCGATCGCTCCCAATAATCGCATTAAACAACCTGTTAAAAATCCACTGGTGTGCCATCAGGACCACCTGCCTGTCCCCTTTCCATCCTCTTCATAGATGCCCTCACCTCCTCCTTACTAACCTTTCTCCATCTGTTCTCCTCTCTCTCCCATTTTCTTCATTTAGTTGTTGTAGAAATGCACCTTTCCTATATTATTTTCTTTGCTCATAATAACTACTAAACTACAGCTTTCTCTGTTTTTCTTGATTTTTCATGTGTACACACATTTGTGGAAGAGAGATTATCTTCTTATTGTTTTACTGTGCCTCTCAGGGGGCAAACTATCTACCTGCACCATCGCCTAATAACAAGAAGGTCCTGGGTTTGAATCCACCAGCTGGCTGTGTGGAGTTTCCATGTTCTCTGTGTCTCCGTGACTTCTCTACAGGAACTCTGGCTTTCTGTAGGTGTGAGTGGTTGTCTGTCTCTATGTATTAGCTCTGCGATAAATTTGAAACCTGTCCTGGATACACCCCGCCTCTTCCGTGATGTCAGCTGGGATAGACTCGAGCCCTAATGTGAACCTAAATTGGATATGTTGTGGAAAATGGATGGATGTTACAGAAGACAAAACACCATGTGAGTGAAAACCAAACTGTGCTTTCTTTTTCTAACAGCAGGTGTCAGACTCGACTTAGATTTGATTTAAAAAGTAAATGATGCAGTTAGTGCAAATAATATTGATTATATCTATAAAAAGCATCTGAGTAGGAAATCCAACAAGAGACTTCATATCTTTAAAGACGTTTTTTTTATATTTTAAAGAAAAAAACTGCTTATTAATCACCCCAAACACCAGTAACAAGACAATGGGAACTCTCACTGCAGTGAACAAGAAGGGAATTCTGTAAGGAAGAATGTCCAGGGTGAAGAAGTCAACTGTCCTGCTGAAAACAAATTACACCCTAAGAGCTAAAGGTCATTCAGAGGCTGTGCACTTCCCTTTTACAGCCCATTTATCTCCAGACTGTGTGGACGAGTTGAAACGGATCAAACAGAAACAGTTTGGACCAGAGGAAGGGCATGTAGGCCACTGTCTGTTGACACTACTGAGAAAACGGATATAATATACAAATTTTCACGTCAGTGTGACTGTAAATTATTACATGACAGGAATCCAAGAGGAAGAAGTCGGCTTTGCGGTTATCTGTTAAATTGTCACATTTTATTTAAGATTTAACCGTTTTATTTCGACGGCGATATCATGAAGAAGACATAATGTTCAAAAATCTCAGCACCACCGAGTCTCATCACCCATAATGTTGCTGTTTGCTGAGAGAATTAACACAAAACATCCAAGATCACTGTGAACTGACAGAACCAGGAAAGACACACCTTCAATAAGAGGGTCCTATTGAAGGTGAACTACAGCACAGAGTCGCTCTGAAGGTAAAACATATGTGCCGTTCGTACATATAGCTGTCTACACTTTTATGAGTATTTTGGCAGATTTTTAAATTAAGTAGAAATGAATGCAACCGTGGCAACAAACAACATAAAAATAAACCTTTCTGTGCGCGCATCATACAACACAAACATGATATAGAAATGTAGATTTAAAATAAATTGTCTGATGAAAAACACTGACAATGTGGAGCTCGTGTGAAGTGCAACTGATGTAAAACTCTCAGTCTGCACTGTGATACATTCAGATACATCGATCGCAATTACAGAACAGACTGTTTATCATGAGATTTGGCTGTTACACAAGTCAAAGTCCATTTTTTATTTTATTGCTCTAATGACAAAACAGTTATTGTCTGGATTAGTGATTACAAGAGGCTGAGGCTGATCCATGAGGCTGATTTGATTTCTGGAGCCTGAGACAGATGGCAAATTTTTTCGGTCATGAAAATTATGGTCATTTTCACTTCTCTTCCTGTTTCCAGGTTTTATACTAAGCTGTTTAATATTTAGATATGAGAGTGGCCTCACACTTCCCTTCCCAAAATAAAAACCTAGCAGGGAGTTCACTGCTTTGCACCTCTGACGAGCACATATGGTTACTTTAAACCATCCCCAGCTTAACACTTGTGAGAAACGGTAAACGGTTTATTATAAGGAGACACGAGAAAAGCATTTCAATGAGGACATGTGCAGCTGTTAAAGTAACAGAGTAATCAATGAATGTAAGCAGAGGATTCTGCTATTTAAACCTCCTGAAGAGACATCCGTTGTAGTGTCTTTTC